TATATATATATATATATATAAAGAGAAGTAAATAATTATATGATGCCAAGTGGTATAATCATAAGACGCCAAGTACAGATTTATACGACAAAGCTCCAACAAAATTGGTATTTTAAAATTATTTTAAATAAAAAATAAAATTTAAAAAAATAAAAAATTGCCAATTCAAATTTAGGATTAGTTTCAAATTGGAGTTTTAAGACAAAATAAACTACCTTTCTAACTAAAAAATATTTTTAATTTTTAATTTTGAATTAATGGGTTACTCTATTTGAATTAATAAATATAGATATCTTATAATTAGCTATAATAAAAAATAAAAATAAACTACCCATTCAAATTGGGGTGTAGTTTCAATGTTGGAGTTTTAAAAATATTTCAAAATAAAAAAACAAATGAAAAAATAAAATTAGCTATAATAAAAAACGAAAATATATAAATAAAAAAAATACCCATTCAAATTGGGAGTAGTTTCAAGTTGTAGTTTTAAAAGTATTAAAAAATAAATAAATAAATAAAATATTCAATTCAAATGAAAAATACAAAAAGTCAAGTGGCATTGTTAAGACAAAATATTTTTCAAGTAGCATTCAATTTGAGGAGTAGTTTCAAGTTGGAGCTTTAAAGTTATTTTAAAATTAAAAAAAATAATAAATTAAATTAATTACAATAAAAAAACAAAAATATTAATAAAAAAACTACTGATTCAAGTGGGGGAATAGTTTCAAGTTGGAGTTTCAAAATTATTTTAAAATAAAAAACGAAAATAAAAAAATAAAAAATTGCTAATTCAAATTGGGGGGTGATTTCAATTTGGAGTTTTAAAATTATTTTAAAATTTAAAAACTGAAAGAAAGAAATAAAAAATTGTCAATTTAAATTAGGAAGTAGTTTCTTTCTAATATAGTAGTTTTTATATATACAAAAAGAGAAGTAAATAATTATATGAAACCAGGCGGTATAACCATAAGACGCCAAGTATAGATATTTAGGAAAAAGCTCCAACAAATTTGGTGTTTTAAAATTATTTTAAATAAAAAATGATATTAAAAAAGATAAAAACATTGCTAATTCAAATTTGGGAGTAGTTTCAAGTTGGAGTTTTAAGACAAAATAAACTACCTTTCTAACTAAAAAAGCTTACGAATTTTAAATTTTAAATTAATTGGTTACTCTATTTGAATTAATAAATATAGATATCTTATAGTAATTAGCTATAAAAAATGAAAAAAAATTACCCATTCAAATTGGGGAGTAGTCTCAAGTTGGAGTTTTAAGACAAAATAAACTACCTTTCTAACTAAAAAAGCTTACGAATTTTAAATTTTAAATTAATTGGTTACTCTATTTGAATTAATAAATATAGATATCTTATAGTAATTAGCTATAAAAAATGAAAAAAAATTACCCATTCAAATTGGGGAGTAGTCTCAAGTTGGAGTTTTAAAAATATATTAAAATAAAAAATAAATGAAAAAATAAAATAGCTATAATAAAAAATGGAAATATATAAATAAAAGAAATACCCATTCAAATTGGGGAGTAGTTTCACGTTGGAGTTTTAAAATTATTTTAAAATAAAAAATAAAAATAAAGAAATAAAATAACTTTCAATTCAAATGAAAAATATAAAAAGTCAAGTTGCATTGTTAAGACAAAATATTTTTCATGTGGCATTCAAACGGGGGAGTAATTTCAAGTTAGAGTTTTAAATTTATTTTAAAATTAAAAAACAAAAAATAAGAAAAAATTAAATTAGCTAAGGTAAAAAAACTAAAATATTTATAAAAAAACAAAAAAAAAAACTACTTATTCAAGTTGAGGAGTAGTTTTGGTTATTCAAAGTATCAAATTAATAAAAAGTAGTTTTGCTAATTCAATAATAAAAATAAAAAGGATCAAACAATTTATTTGATTACTACATTATGTGTATTCTTTAATTTTATATAGATTGTGTTATATTTGTGCATATTATATTAAATAATAAAATACAACTAATATTTATAAGATTAATATTGTGTCAAATAAGCATACATGGGTTACTCTATCAACACGTGTCATCCAATTGTTTCCGTTGACTGTTTCATGCAAGTGCATGCAGAAAGACACGTAACCCCCTGACCAGAATAGAGGCCACACTCCCCGCTTCCTACATCTCCATCTCCCCTTCTCGTCAGTTAGTTACTAGCTTTCGTTTCTTAACTGTAGAGAGAGAGCATCGTTTCGTCTTCGATCTTGTTCAACAATAATGGTGAAATTAGCATCAGCACGCGAGATCCGAATGTACGGGCCAAGATTGACCCGAAATAGATTCGAGTACATCAACGCGGGTCTATACATGTTCTCTACGATTTTGCTTGTAGGTGGGTTTGCGGCTCAGTTTTCCAAAGAACCTTTGTCCGGTTTGGTTCTGTTGCTAATAGCGTTGGCAGTGATCATTGTAGTGAATGTACATGATCTTATGGCTCATCTTGCTGCTATTGACTATAGATTTCTGTTGCTCGGATTTGACCCGCAGCTTGCCCTCGTTGAGTTTGCTGTGCCCGTTGTTCAGTCCTTGGGAACTCTTCTTTACTTCTTAGGAATTCTTTTTCTCTTCACTAAGGTAATTCCTTACTTTATTTTCTTTCTGCTTAACTTTAATTTGTGTCTTTCAAATATGGATTTAAACTGTATACACTCACATTGTAAAAATTCTATTTACTATCAGTGTAATTTGACACGTGATAATTAACCATTTTTATCACATTGGTTTACCTATAATTATCTAATAAGTAACTTAATCGTGTACTACTATTTTTTTATATTGTTAGTGCATAAAGCGTAAACTCTTAAATTACATAGTGATTATGCATTAAAGGGCACTAAAATTGGACAGTTTGATCCTCATTCTCCAAATCGCATCACATAAAATGGGACGGAGATAGTACCATTTTTTTTAAATCTAATTATCTGTCCCTTCTTTATCTAAATTAATTGTGTAAATAACTTTTATATCGTTAATGCATAGAGCTTAGAAGTCTTAAAATACATAGTAATGCATCGCGGGCTAATTTTAAAATTTTGGATATGTATGTAGTTTCAGTACTGTACTGTTTCTGAACTCTTTATTATGTTTTGGATATATTATGTTTTATAAAATGAATGTAGGCAGAAAAGGGGTATGACAATTTCAAAGTGGAGAAGCAAGCTGTGAATCTGCTTATTGCTGGCCCTGCTCTATGGCTGCTTGGTTCAATTCACAACTCGTGTCAGATTTATGAAAGAGCAGATGGACATGTTCAAATCTTGCAACAAAGCGTCAACATTCCTTTCTTGTTGGGCAGTTTACTGTTTCTGGTAGGAGCACTCCTCAATTGGAAAGAGCAATCAGGGCATGTCCACCATGGCTTGAAATTGTTAGTAAGTAATCCAACATCTTACAAATTATCGATATGGAAAATATTTTTATGGATGTACCGTTTAACTTGCTCATAGTCTCATACTACCTATAAGATCGTACCACCTATGTGATTTTAAGGTTCGTTTGGTACGAGGGAAAATGGATAATTAATTTAGATGAGTTTATCCCATGTATAATTAATTTCGGGATTAGTTATTCCGGGATTGTAGTTTATTTTTATCCCTATGGGAGGGTGGGATAATTAATCCTGTGATAATTAATACATCATAAATTCATCTCTTTTTTATTTTTTTATTTTTTTGTTTTGTCCACTTTTCTTTCTTTCACATACAACAACAGGTTTGCTACTATCAGGATAATTAATTGAGATGAGTTTATCCCAGGTATAACTAATCTCGAGATTAGTTATCCCGGGATTATAGTGTTATTTTTATCCCTATGGGGGAGAGTGGGATAATTAATATTGGGATAACTTGTTTCCCAACCAAACGACCCCTTGCAGTATAAACTTGCAGAAAGAAAGAGGACATTCATCGTCCAAATACATATAAGCTAGGGTTGAGTCCCGCATCTCCCTGAACTATAACTGCAAGTTTTCCTGCAGAAAGCTCTCCATGCCTACTCTTGAGAAGAACACTATATTTCTTTAGTTAGTTCTCCTGATTGTAAAGACAATCATTTACAGTTGCTCATTTGGAGAGGATGATCTCTATCTTTAATTTCAGTTGAGAAAGTGGAGGAACTGGTTTAATTAAGAATAAGGAAGAATTTAATTAGAATAGGATGTGCATAGCGAGAAACTCCCTGACCCTGTCAACCAAGCATCAAAAAGAAAGGAAGGAGAAGAAAACTTCATTTTTGGAACCTTTCTAGAAGTCATTTAACCTGGAATGTTATTTATATAGCAATAGTCCGATTGGCGAAATATAGTGCGTATTGAATGTCATTTATACAGATGTTTCATTTAGCCAAAAATCCAACTAGGGTGTAAGGCATTCTTATTGGTCGATTTCCTTTTTAACTCTGTTTATCTCCCGACTATTTGTAGGCTTGCTTACACATAGTAACACTGTTTGAATGCTTATGAGTATTAGAATCTGTTGCACTGCCTTTTGCATAGTTTGATCAAGTAAATGAGTAATTCTGAAATGATGCAGAGTGAAGACTGGGTGTGGTTGGGAATATTTGGGAGCCTATTGCTTCTCATTGGGGGACTAATGAACGTGGTAAAAGTGTTCAAGATGCAACAAATGAGTGGATTGAGGCTAGAGAAGTTACGAGGCGGAGCACAGGACCGATTAATGCAAGAAAGAGAGGGGCAAATGCCACTAATTATAGAAGAGCAAAGGAGAAGGAGAAACTCACCCGAGGAGGGAACAACATCAACTACTGTTATTGCCCCAACTCCCTATAAGGATGTTCTTGTTGGTCAGGTTTGAGTTAATAGTTCGAGGAAATTCTATGCATTACTCCCATCTCATATAAACTTCGCCAACGGCTCTTGGACAGTCACATACAACATGAGGATTTACAGAAGATTTACAAGTTTTGCTTGGTCTTGGACCATTAATTTCTCCTAAATATGCTGGTTTTACATGTGCTTATTCACAAAAGTTCGAGAGATCGTACATTACTATATTATAATCACTTGGATTTGGTGTTGAATAAAACGATATCTTATTTGTACTAGTGTATGGGTTACGGAACTAGGGGTGTACCAATGAAATCGACAAATCGTACCAACTCGATAATCCGAGTCAAACCGAGAAAAAAAATTCGATTATGGTTTGGTTTGATTTGGTTTCGTGTTTGGAAAAAAAAATCCGACCATATTTGGTTTGGTTTGGTTTTAACTAAAAAAAAAAGTCAAATCGATACCAAACCAACCCGACATTATATGTATAGAAGTTTTAAATATATTTAATATATAAAAATATTTATGGTAGTGTAGTTTATAAATATTTTTTAAGTTTTTTTATAGTTTTATCTTTTAACGTATTATTTCAAGTTTGGGCTTATAACTTTTGGATGCTCCAATAAGTTTTATAGTCCATAAAATGTTAGTAACTCAAATAAATCCTAAACTAAAATTAAATCAATACCAATGCTAATAAAAGATATTCAATTCAATTGTACTATGAATGAAAATAGTGTTGGATATCTATTTTTTAATTTTTTTATGGTTTAGATAAAATGTATAATTAATTTTTTTTTAGTGGTTAGTCATGTAAATAATGTAGTACTTATTAGTCATAATTTTAAATTATGTTTGTTTTAATTATGGCTTATTAATAATATTTATTTTATGCGACTTTATTTTCTTTATTGTTGAATTGTAGTACAATAATGCCATAACTTATCTCATATTTATGTTATTTTATTGAAAAACACATTATATAGTTATGTCTTATTAGGATTAAAGAAATATATGGAGCACAAATTTTACGTTTTGTGCTATGAAGACTTTATGAAAACAAAAACAGAAAAAAATCGAAAACCCGAAAAATCAGAGAAAAATCGAGATTAAAAAACCCGATTTTTTTTGTTTGGTTTGTTATTTAGATTTAATAACTCGATACAATTGATTTGGTTTGGTAATTAGAAAATCCGAACCAACCCGACCCATGTACACCCCTAACGGGAACATTGTACAAAGTGTATTTGTTGTGAAAATAGTATGGGCTAGTCAGTTTTTGGACTGGTAATCAAAAATAGCCAGCGTTTGCAAAGTCATTGAAAAATAGCTATTATTCTATGCGAAAATAAAATCTGGACAAAAATACTTTAGCTAAAACACAGAAAGTTTCAGCATAATATGGAGCTTTTGCGTATAAACTTTCAGCATATTATATTGAAATTTCAGCACATTATGCTGGAATTTTATATGTAAAAAAATCGAATTTTAGCAAGGTGTTTTTGTTTAGGAGCCTGTTTGGCTTAGCTGATTCAAAGTGGTTGATAAGTATCAGTGCTGAAAAGTACTTTTAAATGTTGAAACTGATTTAATAATAAACAGTTATATATTTGGATTAGTGTTGAAACTGATAATAAACAGTTAAAATATTTGGTAAATATGTGCTGATAAGTATTATTTTTTTTGTGATGTAATGACTTAAATGTCCCTCAAACTGCTTACACTAATAAATATATAATTATACAAGATTTCAAATTCTAAATTGATTGAAGTATAAATTAACTAATGAATTTACTCTTAGTTCAAAATTGATTAGATTAAATTAATATTTAGTAAGTATATATTATTTTAGCAACAGTGAGCTAAAGTACTATAAGAAGATCACTATTACATGGTCATTTTTCATTACCAACACAAATCAATTAAAATAGATAATTTAAATCATATTTCACAACAGAATTTTAAATGATGCAAAACAGCCACTTTTTCTAAAAGATGAAGAAAGTCGATTGACAGAAAATAGAATTTTTCTAACTCATATTAATTTGAGTGATTTAAGTTGACGGTAAAGAGCTTTTTGTTGTTCATAATGGTGGATAATGTTTCTGGGAAAGTAGCCCGAGAAAAGATGACGGAGTGAAGCGATGAATAGAGATAAGAGTTTTATTAAAATAAATGCATTTTAGAATTATATAATAATAATATGGATAAAATAATAAAAGTTTTGGTCAAACTCAAAGTGTTTATAAGTTGAAAAGTCAGGTTGACCAATTGACTTTGACTTATAAGCACTTTTGGTGTTTATCAAACGCGTAGATAAGTCAAAAAATACTTATAACCTAGTTTGACCAACTTATAAAGTTAGCCAAAACCCCTCTAGATTTCATCTTTACATAAAAAATAATGACTAAATTTTAATTACTTTTGAAATTGTAGCTATTTTTCAATTATCAATTTTAAATCAGGCTATTTCTGATTTTATGTGTATTTGTTTGGCGCGACATTTTTTTTTTCAAATCTGACCTTGAATATCATTTGGAGTTGTCACTAACGATGCAAAATAGTTCCTTTTCGGAAACATCACTAGGGAAATAAATATAAGGTTTCTTGCTTTTGGAGTGTTCAACCATTGTAGGTCGTAAACCTAGAGCTGAGTAAATCAATCTCCAGAAGTATCATGATCCAGGAAAAACTCAGAGTAGCTACGTCTTTCTTCTTTTTTTCTTCCTCTTTAACCCTCATCTTTATTAATTTCCCTGCAAAGTTACATTGGGAATGACATTTCTCTGAAAGCAGCAGAGAGTTAGTAAAGTATGATGTTAAAATAGGACATCTTATTTTCAAAAAATTAATATACAATTCCCCAGTTTACATGCAAAATTTTACCCAATACAGGGTATTTTCAATTTTAAAGTGGCTGAAAGAGAAAAACGGAAAAAAGAAATCCTGAATTCCGACCGAGGCGTACAATACTCTACTGAAGCTACCTGTTCTGTCTGCTGCCAGGAAATGAAAGTCCTATAAATATGTTACAACAGTGAGGAAAAAGAAATTCTATGATCTGTAGATGAAATAATCAGACTAGTGTGTCGTATAAACTGTACACTATCTCCCTACACCAGCTGAGATGATCACCCATGGAAGAGAAAGCGACACCTAAACCAATGCAAGTGCTTCTTCGTCTTGTGGCTGCTGCTGTTGTTCAGAGAGCCGTTCTTCGGATAAAGGGAGAAGAATTCGCCTTATTTCTTCTGAACTCAATGTTTCACACTCCAGAAGTGCATTGGCCAGAGCATGCAGAGCCTTTTCATGCTGCAACAAGAAAAGAACAGACAGATTTTTGAGCAATATTTCCAACCTATGCTGCGTGGTTAAAATATTTCAAGTGAAACAAATTCACAATCAGACAACACAATGTAATGAGGACGCATCTTTTTAGTCACTACTGAGGATTTGTGGGGCGAAGAGGGACTGCTTAAACTTTCTCATTGCTTTTGCTCATCAAATAAACATGGTACAACACCAGCCATTACGGATTCAAATCATATAGCTACAACGCTTCAATGGCAAAATAATCTCCTAAAGACCAAATACTTGATTCGACCAACACATCTATAAGGAATTTTTTTTTTTTTGAGTAAGGTAACATTTAACACATCTATAAAGATATTTTGTCATGAATCATAAAAGTAATGTCTGATACTTGCCATACCTTGTGTTGGATTAGGTACCAACTTAAAATCTGAAAGTTGCAAGGAATTAGCAGTCTACAGCTAACTCTGAAGATCTATAGCAACCCGTATTTGTATAATTTTTCCTTTTACAATTTCTTTAAAATATGTCCTTCACTTGCTGTATCAATTATCACTTTAAGACGTACCAAGATGTTTCACATACTTCTACATTGATAATATTCTACGCAACTTTCAACAGTTGAGTCTGGGTCACATTTTCTTTCTTTGGTTTTCTTTTTTATAGTTATGAATTGTTGATGTTCCTTCTCAAAAAAAAAATTACGAACTGTTAATGTTAAATAAATTTGAGTTCTTGAAACTTTTGTTGTATAGAGTATGTTAACTCTAGAAGTATGTCAATCATTAAGGGGCATCTCAAAATGGAAAAAAAATTATTCTCATAAGTATCCACCCAACATTGGTACAAATCCCGTACCTGCCGGTGTCATGTCGGCAAAGGATCCGAGCAACATAGGGTGAGATACATGTTCCGTTACTTCTATTTATCTAAATACTTAAGTGTTTTCATGTATCATGTATGTTGAAAATAGTTCCATGTAATTGGGGATTGATTTTTCAACCTTTTGCCCTCATTAGCTTTAGGCAAAACAACCTTGTATGGAAATTGTTCTTCAAGAGTAGTGAGTCATTCATTACCTATGTAGTACTTCATAATGCACCTTCTCCATAGGAAATTGACAGTCTTAAGAGACCAAAACACTGTCAACCCATTGAAAAGACTAAGATTGTCTGCACACTATCATACACTGAAGTATTTAAACCTATGCATCTACTTGGACTTCTAAAGATACTATCAACTACTGAGCAAGAAGAAGGTTGTAAAAGGATGGAAGGTAGTATAGCTCTATGATCATTAAGATATGTAAGACAAACCTTCTTTAGGAGGGCCTTTACACGATCATAAGCTTCTCTTAGAAGTTTAACCACCTGTGCATCAAAAGAACAAACTTATAAGAGCTTGTCAACCCAAATAAATTTGAGCCCGTTTGGATTGGCTTAAAAAAGTGGCTTTTCAGCGGAAAAAGCTTTTAAACCAAAAAAGTAATAAGTTGGGGTTGCCAAGCTTCTTGCTTTTGGCTTGTTTTAAGCAGTTTTTAACTTATTTTAAGCATTTTTTGACTTTGCCCAATGCTGAAAAAAGCTAAAAAGAGCTTAAAAGCTGATTTGACTAGTTTAAAAGTTAATCCAAACACACTCAAAAACATAAAAGATTACACATTATAGTGAACTAGAAATTTTTCACCAGGCCACTTGTTACAAAAGGTGAGAAAATAAAAGGTTAAAAAAATAGTCGGGCTAAGCACATACCTCCGCATCAATACGTGATTGCATTTCAGCACTTGGCCGCTCTTTGATGTGAACAGGTCCAATTGCATCACTCATCCCACAGGACGATACCTACAGAAGAATGTGATACTGTCATACCCTTGTACTAGAAAGCTCATTCTAACGGATGAGTAATAACGTCACTCACAGCTTAATATACATAACACAGACAAAGAAAATGAAGAAACAACAATATCAGACTGACACTTTTGACTCTTCCTATGAAGCAGATCTGGAGAGAAACCTTCTTAAGGCAGCTTTGGCCTGTGGGAAGCTACTTTTGCAGCAAATCATGTGGGGGAGAACCTAAGCTGTTTCTCACTTATGCCTAGAGATTGTCAAATACTGCCAGCATAGATATTGAGAGTATGTTTGCTATCTGTTTTCTGGCTATGCCTGGGTTAGAAAACTGCTAATTTCCACTTACATTGACAAATAGCAGTAGATGGAGGAAAAGGAACTAAAGGTGATCCTATTTTCTCTATTTCTATTTTCTAGGCACTTTGGGTTGTGAAAAGTTTGAGGGCAACCCAAGGAAGCAAAAGTGACTTCAGAACATTGAAGCTTCAGATCGGCAGACTCAATTTTCTGTCCCCAGCATAGCCTCGAAATGCACAGATTTAATTGATCTTTATGCTATTTTAGTGCACAGATTTAGTTGATTTTTCTGATAATTTTGCATGGAACAATATTTTTTTCCACACCTTATTATCGTTTAGGTAATTTCCTTAGGAAACCTGCAATACAATGGTCACTCCTCTTTGATGTTCACATAAATATTAATTTTCTTTCTGCAGTTACTGGCGAGAAATCAAAAACGGAATAAGCACTGCCCTGTACAATTTCACTTTTCCGAAGCAGAAACTTAAGTCTCATAATGTTGATGAGAACACAAAACTTCTTCGGTTAACAAATTCTGGCATATCAATGCAGCTAAAAGGCAAATGAGCACTTAAAACTGAATATCATGCAGTCAGTAAAAACAACATATTTTGATCTGCATGCATACATTGAAATGTATAGACGCGTAAATAATTGCTTATAAGTAAAAAGAAACTAGGAAACAACTTCTTCTCATAGCTAATATTTGTAATATATGAGGCTCAATATATTTTTAAACCGTTTGTAGTCTTGAAGGTGTCTGAAAAATAATTCTTGTTTAGCAAGCTAGAGAAACATAAAGGTAAGAGAGAAGAAGTATTCTTATTACAAGTATCGGCCATTTCTTTCACTATAAATATATGTTAATAAGTAGCGAAACTGTACCATGTATTGAGCAAGTTCTGTAGCTGTGTGAAGGTCACTAGTAGCCCCAGTAGTTACATTGTCTTGACCAAAGATAAGCTCCTCTGCTACTCTTCCTCCCATACAAACATCAAGCCGTGCTAACAACTGTTTTTTGCTGATTGATGTCTCATCATTTGAAGGAAGCTGAGTAACCATTCCCAGAGCAGACCCACGTGGCATGATTGTAGCTTTATGGATTGGATGTGCACCTTCAGTATTCAAGGCAACAATAGCATGGCCACTCTCATGATATGCAGTTAACTGAAAAAGAAGATATTTACCACAATGGTTAGCATGTCTAGATATCGTAATATTGCCACCATAAAACATAAACAGGGAGAAAACAAGTTGTTGGCCCATTAAGGCAACATTCTGACAGTCCTTTCATTAACAACACGAGGTTGACCTAGATTATGCATGGTATATATAAAATACACAACTTGATGTTTTGAGGCCAAATAAGTTCTTGTATTCTAAAGAATTTTGCCAGTTCGTAAACATGTAAAATCAAACAATGACATAGATTACAAAACATCAATGCCTGATGTTAAATCAAATAAAACTTGCAAGAGCAGGTTACAGGATCCAAACATGAGCATACTTTTCATAACAGAGCAGAATACCTTCTTTGAGTCTTCTGACAGGAACATGGTTTTGCGTTCTGTTCCCATTATTATTCTATCTTTTGCAAACTCCAACTGTGATGCATTTAGCTTCTCAGCACCTTCAACAGCAGCCTTAATGGCAGCAATATTCACAAGGTTTGCCAAATCTGTTTCAAACAGAAATGATTAAATAATATATCCAAATCAACAGTGTTCCTAGAAAGGTGTTAGAATGTAAATTCAGTATTAAGTGTAGTGTTAAAAGAGTTATGTCATTAGTTAGATATCGTCCCACAAGGAACAAAATCATATGAGTCTTGGATTTGACACCTATATATAGGTGTTTCTTGTATGCCATTATCAGGAAAAAGATGTATCAATAACACCACTATTCCATTTATAAATAACAGTAAAATGATGTATCTAGGAAAAATCTCAGACATTAGTCAAATGTAAAATATTAAAAGAAGTTCACAGAGAATGTTATCCCAAGGAAGAGACAACGCACAAAACAATGGACACAATAATACAAGATCTTGGCTCAAAATGTAATCTAGTTCAGTAATTTAAATAGTTACTCCCTCTATTACTTTATGTGACACACTTTCCTTTTTAGTCTGTTCCAAAAAGAATAATTAACTTTACACTTCCCGTTTTACCCTTAATGAACAACTTTTATAACCACACAAATATTGTGGCATGTTTAAGTTTACAAGTTTCAAAAGTTTTATAACTACACAAATGTTGTGGCATGTTTTAAACCACAAGTTTAATAAGTCTTCATTTCTTTCTTAAACGTCAGGACCATTCGAACTACGTCACATAAGTTGGAATGGAGTACAAGTTAGGACTCTTATTCATGTAATTGGCCCCTGAACTTGCATAATATTTGCTTTTGTGGATCGCGCATATTCATTAACTTTCCTTTCACTCCTCCAGAGTTATCTTGAAGAGTAAACCATGTCCAGCCGATTAGATAAATGATACAGCCATCTTCACAATCCAATCTTCTTTTACCAAATATCTAAAAGATCATAGATAGAATCCACGTAACGAGGATCCTCCATTTCAAGCTTGAGAAGGTAGTATACCGTCTCATTAGACACCAATTTTAGGATAAAAACGATTCACATTAAGAGGGAAACTTAAGCAAAAGAAAATGAACACAAAGTAAAATGAGCAGTGCACATGCCTGCTCCATTGAATCCTGGTGTTCCACGAGCAATCGCTTTCACATCAACATCATCACCGACTGGTTTGTCTTGCAAATAAAGCTCTAAGATCTCTTGACGGCCCCGCACATCTGGATTTGGAACTACAATCTAGAAAAGGTTTGTTTTGATGTTAACAGGCTGATGATGGACCATTGTTATATAAGAAAAGAGCAAATAAGCTATTCCTCAAATTCATCGTTTACAATGTGTCTTCCAAAAGCAGAAGGATCAAAAAGTCGTTCAACAAAATTCTGACTTAGTCTGACATCTCAGAATAATGAAATGTATAAACTCAAAATTTAGTATATACTGTACAATTTCACGACCAAAATGCTCCCTTGAAATTTGCTTTTACTCCAATTTCCAAAATGCAATTCATGGAGTTGTTAATGGACACCCAAACTTAAGGCATAGCTTTAGTGTGACGAAGCTGTATGACACCACCCCATGGCACAAATACCGGCGTAAAGTTAGTAAATTTGAAAAAAATCAGTAAGATAGTGTGACACAACTTTCTCAGGTAAATAAATTCATGATAAAGTAACCGGTGTACTTTGTTAGCAGACAAGTGTTAAAGAAGAAAAGATACTCCATTTTGTGCCTTCAAAATACCCTTGTTAATCAGAGTAGAGAAAATTACTGAAGAGCACAAAATTATGCCTTGAAATAAACATCGTGTGGAAGTAGAAAGCAATCAAACAGGTTGGAAAAGCTCCAAAAGACTTACATGCCTATCAAATCTACCGGGTCTTGTCAAGGCGGGATCAAGTATATCCGGCAAGTTTGTCGCAGCCATCAATATTATGCCCTGCACAAGTCAAATATACACTCCAGTCTCAAGTTCAGAGTGAGGGATCATGTTCTAGATATTTTGACTTCAAGGCGTTTACCTCATTTTGCTCAAAACCATCCATCTCAACAAGTAACTGATGCAGTGTCTTCTTAGTATGACCTTCCCACTGCTTTCGAGTTGATCCAACAGCATCAATTTCATCAATAAATATGATGCATGGAGCCTTAAAATAAGAGAAGACACAAAATTAGATAGCAGTTCCAAGAAACTGATTGAGCTTCTTCAGAAAGGGAAACGAACATCAAATTCTTTCCTGTTCCAAGTAAGTACAAGGACAAGGAAAGGACAAAGCAGATAATCTCACATGATAGATACAGTAACATGAAGCTGAAAGGGGACTTACGATTAGGTTTTCACAGTTTTAACAAAAATGGGAGTTTTATTTATTTTAGCATTTCAGGCAGAAATAACACGTTTTGACGACAAATTAATTTCAAAGCAGATGCTAGGGCATCATGCCCCTTGTCAAGTTTTACTAGTTCCAATCTCATACCAAATCCCATCAATCGAATCACTTTTTCGAGAAATACAAGACATCCAAGTCTACAAGTAAAGAGATTGATAAGAAAAAGAAAAATCGTGAACGGAGATTGAAAGTCACTTTCCTAGTACAGCAAGGTCTAATATTAATCAATGGAAATTCTAACAACTGTTTTGTTTGGAGTTACCCCAAAACCTCTTCTCCTCAGTTGAATCCCTTGTTCACTCCAAACTCTTGGTTTAAGAAAGATGAAAACTCCTTTTACCATTGATGAAAGCGCATTCTTATGGACAGCCCAAATAGAAAGTATGCTAAATGATTACAGACATGAAAGCATGAAAGTGGCTGCAGTTTCACAAAGCCATCGAGGAAGCTTTGATAACCAATTATGAGAGATCTCCACCCACTTCTTTTATTACTATGTAACTCAAACCAAAATTTATTTGAGAGATCAGTAGGCACGAATACGTTATATATAATACATGCAAGATGAGTCTCTATGCACTCAGAAAACATATTGCGTCACAGCCAGACCACTTAAGCTCAAGTGAGATCTTTTCAAGCATAGCTCAGCATTGACTGAAGATCTTCAGCCCAGAGTCTACCTAGTACATTTCACATGATTTTGCATCTGATATTTAAAAGTGATCTTCTCTAGAAACCACAATAAGTAAGCTGTATATAATCGCTCAAACCTTCTTCTTAGCAGCTTGAAACAAAGATCTAACACGTCGAGCACCAACTCCCACAAACCTGAAAGAAGATAAAATTTCCAGCCAAGTTAATTAGGTCATCAGGTAACCAAACGTAAGATCTTGAAAAGACAGGATAATTTGCCCAAATCCAGAAGACAAAAAATCAAGCATATAAAAATCACATGTGCACAAAAACAGACAGTATCCTTTTATAGGGACAGAAGGATGGACTTTCACAGTAAAATCATGCTACAAGTGACTATCCCATAAAAACAGTCATCAAGTTCCCTGGCCATGGAAGAATCATATGGTAAGTTAAAGACTCCTATGACGCTTCTTGCTTCAGTTGGCTGGTAGCACCAGAATCATGCTTGACACAGCATAATTTACCGCAAAGAAACCAAGGAGCTGCTAGAATGCTGGAGCAGGAGCAGCTTTGACAAGGAAACTTTTTTTTTGGGAGGAGAAGTACCTCACAAGGAAGCTAAAGCTGCCTAGAACACCATTTTTGCATGCTTTTGGTAGGACGCTTTGGAGGAAAAGGAATCACAGGATTTTTTAGGGCAATACTGACACTATCTTCAGATTAAAATACAAATTTACTCTCTAGATAGCCATCTGACACAAAATGGTTGACATCCATGAAGTAGATACTTTACTCGACTTCCTCAGCTTCATTTGTATTTAGATTTGGAAAGAGTTTTTGCTAACTGTAATTTTGTACGTACACCAGTACCATCTTAGATCTGGAATAAATCAATAAAATCCTACTTGTCACATGTGCACGAAAAGAAGATCTACCCTACTATAGCTATTGAGACCTCCATTGACCAAATTCAGACACTGTGTCATGCATACGCTTGTGCAGATATTACCAATCCTCTTTTCACATTTAGGAGTTAACATGACAAAGTGCGATATCAATGAGAATTATCATCCAGTTTCTTAGATGACGGGAGCAAAATACTGAAGATTTGTTCATATAATCGACAAAAACTGACAAAAGTAATTTTATAAGCACCAAGTGACTTGCTATCCATGAGAAGAAACTAAGCTCATTCTAGAAAGTAATGGGAGATTACAAATCTTAATCTTATCAACATATTGGTTATACAAACATGACGAAGACATGAGGGTAGAGAAAGTAGTAGACATACATTTCTTCAAATTCAGAGCCTGCCTTATAAAAGAAAGGCACCCCTGCTTCTCCAGCGATAGCCTTCAAATCAAGAAAATTAAGCACGATTAGCATAAGTACACATGCTTATGTTGACATACAAGAAGAATGCAGAATATAAAGAATTTTGCTCAAGGAAGTAATCACGATAATCTTTTTTTTTTTTGTTGATAAAGTAATAATTTTATTAATGCACGATAATAGAAGAGAAATCTTTAAATAAATTTAAAAAAGGACCAATCCAAACACTTGAGAAATTATTCGAGAACGGAAGGAATAACTATGTTTTTGTAATTACAAGGAATAACAAGTCTTAAATTACCTTACTTTAGCAACAACAAAAAAAGAAGGGATAACAGATCTTACATCACCAACAAATAGGAAGAGGAAAGAGGGAAGGCAAGACCTAATCAGAAGACTCACAACTAACAAGAAGAAATTTCATCTGAATTTGATTATAGTTGGAAGTGTGCAGTGCATCTGGAAATATAACAAAGAACACTGGTAGGCGACACATGGAAAAACCAATGTGGACAACTACTTCAGTGTAAAATGTGATCAACAGCTTACCTTGGCGAGGAGGGTTTTTCCTGTTCCAGGTGCTCCAGTCAAAAGAATTCCCTAAAACAAGATAATAATACCTTCAGAAAAAGGATAGGGGATGGTTCACATAAAAGGAAGCAAAATTGAATAACAAGCCAGAATAAATAAGCAGAATAAGCACAAACCTTCGGCAACTTTCCCCCAAGCCGAGTGAACTTAGCAGGATTTTTGAGGTACTCAACAACCTCCTCAAGCTCTTGCTTAGCATCATCACAACCTTTGACATCCTTAAACGTTTTGACATTCTGCGTCCAAAAGAAAAATGGATAAACAAAAACTGATGCAAGTATCCAAGATACATAAATAAGAGAATTCATACTTTTCCCAATCCCTATTGGGCAATTCCCAGAAGGAAAAACTGAATCTCTAGTATTAACTAGCACTATAGCATAAGCGTGGTAGTTCAAGTCCACCCAACATCTTTCTCAATCACTACCATGTTAATCTACAGCTCAGCTAAGTAAATATTCCAACACGGACTATTTGTTTATCGAAAACATACAAACCAGTGAGCCTCAAGAATAAGAAGCAGCACTTATACATGATTGAGCCTTAATACACAAAAAGAGAATGATGTATGACTCTTAAAAGTTGTTACTAGTTAACGAGAGAGCGGACACTCAATGAGTTATTCCTGAACAGCTGGAAGATCAAGAGAAAACCAAACAACCAAGACCAATGAGGCATCAACATTTATGTTAATAAAATATAAAATTGAAAAAGAGGAGCACAGATGTCCCGGTGAGGAGGTGTGAGATGTTGACATTGGAAGGCTTACGGAGAGGTAGAGGTAGGCCGAAGAAGAAGTGGGGAGAGGTGATTAGGCAAGACATGACGCAGCTTCAGCTGACCGAGGACATGACCCTTGATAAGAAGGTGTGGGGGTCGAAAATTAGGGTAGTAGGATAGGTGGTAGATTGTTCATACCAATAGGATTAGTACGCACTCTCGCATTCTGTTGGTAGTAGGTTTCTATGAATACCCGTCGTTTTCTTTCATTTTGATCATCTTATTATCGTGTTGTTTCTATGCTAATTTTACATGGCTTTTTGGTGTTTTCCCTCATTGTCTATCTTTTTAATTAATGTGGTGCTTATGTTTTTCTGAGCTAAGGGTCTATTGGAAACAGCCTATCCACCTTCACAAGGTAGGGGTAAGGTCTGCGTACACACAAACCCTCCCAGACCCCACGATGTGGGATAATACTGGGTGTTGTTGTTGTTGATATGAAAGTAAGTTATGTAGGAATAGCCTGGGATAAAATAGATACTTGAAGCTGTTCCGTTTTCCAGATTACTCTTTATTGATCATAGTGGAGATTTGATAGCGCAAGAACATAGAAAATTACAAATGAGACGCCTCAATCCTCCAAATTTTCAAACTCCTAAATTTCTGAACGAAATTCCCAGGGACAAGAGTTCTTTTTTCTAACGACAAGACGAGGAAGCCAAACAAACTAGACATTTCACACTATGACAGGAATTTTTTTTTTTTTTTTTGATGAATTTCACACTATGACAGGAATTAAGGAGCAAAATAAATGAAACTTAGCTTCCAATCCCTTTAATTAGCATAGTACATCAGAAGATTGGTGCAGAAGACATAACCTTCATGTAACATCTCCAGAAAAAAAACATACCTTCTCAGGCATTATTTCTTTATTCAACTCTTTCGGGGCATAGGATGAGCTTGAACCAACACCTGAAGCTCCTATCCCACCTAGGCCACCAATGTATTTCTGAAGTGCAGTAGCACCCATTATCCTGAAAAAATGAATGTGCTCTTTTCTTAGCAAAAATAAAGAAGACTAAACATCTACCAACCGAAGACAGGAGAAGTTACCTAAAGCAAGGAAAGTGAGTGAAAACTAAGATAAGGTCAGGGACAATCAGCTAATATGCTAACGAGCAAGACAGGAATCACATAAAAAACAAGCAGTGTACCCCCTTCCCCTCTCACCCTACACACACAAAAACAAACAAACTCCCAGAAAATCTAGAAAAAAGGGCAAGAGTATATCTAGAGACATTACTAGGCCTCACTTGTACATGAGGAATAGTAAATTCAAGAAGATTAGCTTACCAGACCAAGCCAATGGCAATAGTGAATATGATAGTTGAGAGAAACTCTTGCGCAAAACGTGATGATCTGTTTGAAACTTTAGGATCAACCTATATGTGAATAACGAAATTTTGGGTTAAACAACCACATGCATGCAATAGAATGACCCAACAAATGGATAAAGTAATTATAAGCAAAATCAGCGGAAGCACGAAGAGCCGTAAACAAAATTCATATTTAACTGTTAGTGATGACTCATAGGTTTAGATATGATGCTTCAGATGAACATTAGACTCCTTGTGTCAACAAAAACTGCAGGGCTCATCGTATCTTACCATCACAACATGCAATGGCTGCTTCTCGGAAATGCCAGGATTGAGAAACGGCTCATCCATGTTCCCTGACGCCCGCTGCTTCAACTCTTGCAACTACATTTTGATTCCATTAATCATCAAAAAGTAACACCAAATCAAGAGACAAGAACATTATAAATTACAGGAGTGACCAGAATATCTAGAGTTCAAAATGATTTCCTTCACTCCAAAAAACAGAAGCACTTAGGTGTCATTGTGGAGATAGAATGAACTGAGACTGACTGGGATAATCAGGAATCCAGAACATTCACTACTTAGTGCCAAACACTAAAATGATATATTACCACACAGGTGGCATTTGCCAATAGACACAAAAAACTTCAAAGGTATTATGATCAAACAATTACCAGTGAAGGAAGACTAGAAGGCTTTCCGGATTGCTCATCAGGTAGATATTCGGAAATAACATTTGTCGTCACAAGAGCTCGTAAATATTCTGCAACTCCTCTACTGTCTACAGCATGTGCTCTCTGCTCAAAGCGCCGAATGACAGACTCAGGGCTAAGGTTGAAACGATAAAGAGAACAGTGAATATTCTCTAAAAATAAGGCAACTTATACACTATCAAACCTAAAAAATGAAACAAAAATAACCCGAACTGATCAGGTGAAATACTCAAGTACTATTATTCACAGGAACTCACAAGCTCCATTCTTGTTTTAATAGGCACCTCATATATGATTCTCTTAGTTCGTTATGAAAATAGGAAAGAATTGTAATTAGACACACCAATAAAAAGCATCCACGAGGATAATGACCAATTAAACATCTTTCTAAATATTTATCTTGAAAGACGGGCAAATATTGCTAAAACATAGTATTATTATCAGTAATGAGCATCACAATATTCCTTTTTTTTTTTTAAAGAATCTTTACTAGTATCCTACCTCTTGTACATTATGTAACTAAGATAAAAGACTAAATATTATTTGAGAATTAAGATAGAGTGTAAAGCTATACCTGTGCTTGTTGAGTTCAACCAGCAAAGCACTCTGCATAGCTGCGTCCTTAGGATTAGCATCAGCATCAGCAATCAGTCTGTCGAGACGCTTCTCTTGCTGCCAAAAGGGCCACCAACTAAACCAATCAGAAAGCAAAATCTTCTCAAACCCATTCTTGACCTTAGCAAATAAACCCATCAAGAAAACCACTATAGGCAACTTCCTCTTCATTTCCTCATTCTCCTCCACCAATACCTCAGATTCCACAACATTACCCGCTTCTTGAATTGAACTACTGCTCTCACCAAAGGAGGAGGGTTCATTGAATTCTCGGGGTTCAATTTCAGTGTCATTATTATTGGATAAGGCAAAATCAGAATTGACATTGTCAGGAGTCAATGTACAGTGAAGCAGTAAATTGTGGCGGCAAAAACGAGGCTTTAAAGAAGTAAACGCAGTTGTTGTGGATAAACGAAGGGAGTAAAAGGGTTTGGAAGAAGAAAATTGGAAAAGAGGAGAAGGTAAAGGCTTGAAGATAAGAGAAGCTTGAAGAGTAGTCATGGCTTTCTTTTTTTCTGTTTTCTTCGATTAGATGTTTATTAGGGTTTAAAGGAAGGAAAAAAAAAAGATACTTTGCCTTGAACTCAATTCAAAGATTCTTTACTGCAAAAAAGAGTTTTTTTAGTTTCTTGAAGGAGTAACGCACTTCTCTTCTCCCTTTTGCTCTCACTATAGGAATTAGAGAGTAGTTGAAGGGATTGAGAGAGAGCCACAGGATTGGGTTGCTTCTTGTTATGTTATACAACAAGGGAGCAAACAAGAAAAACCTTATCTCAATCAAATTGGCGCTCTTCTTCTTGTGGCCTTTATTATTTCACTCTTATTTTTTGAAAGAAAAAAAATACTACTAGCTTACATTGAGATTTTGAGGATGTCAACGGAGCCGAACCGGTTCCCAAACTCCCAGGGGCCAGGGCTTAACATAAACAGCCGGTTTGGTCATTTTCATACCCCAATTTTTTTCAGCCAAATATGAATTTACTGTGTAAGTACCAATTAAGATTTAGCTCAGCATGGACCAAAGTTCATTACTTTTTAAGTGGCCTATCTTTCAGGATTGAAACTTCTTTCGTTGGTTTCACATTCACTTCTCTTGGGAAGTTTATGCGTTGCTTTTTAGCTGTTGCAAAATTTGAAGACCTGAGTTTGAAAACTTTCAAAAGAAATGAAAACAACATCAAACAAACATGTTATGCAAAACTAAAAGAAAATTTCAAAAAACGAGTTTCCTCAAGTTTGAAACAAACGCCATAAGGTTGCATTTGTTGGCACTCATGGTCCTTTGTTTTACGCTGTCTTCAACTTAACAAGAATTGGAAAGAGAGTAGACGAGCTAATAAGTTTCACACAAGACAAGCATGAAATCAAAGCCTTTGCTCCATAATATAATTCATAGCGATGAAAGGTGACCAAGAATATTGTACAATGTAGTGCCTAAAAGCAGCAACGGGACCATTCAGTGACCCAAAAGAAAAGAGCTAAAGACAGACAAAAAGAACCAAGATATGCAGTTAGGACCAAAAGACTTGTCACATTTTGGTTAACATCTCTCTGCAACAAAATTAAGGAACCCTGGTATGAAAAGCCTTTTCACGTTAGTGCTACTGTTGATGATAAGGAGGCATTGCAGTAGAATAAGGTATGCCATTCTGTCCATGCATTGGCATCACCCCGGAGCCCATCTGAGGAGGCACACTAGCAGGTGGCATGTAAGGGTGACTATGCATCTGCATTGGCATTCCTGGATTTGCTGTGGCGGCAGCAGAGTTCCAGCCTGCAGAATGCTGAGGCGGAGCAACACCTGGAGCTGGAGCATAATGGGCAGGGCCACCGTATGGATGAACACCTGGACCTCCTATCTGAGGCTGCTGCCCAAAGATTGAAGGTTGAGAATTCAACATAGGGGTATTTGGGATTGTGTAATCTCTGCTGCGATCATTATTAACCTGAAATCAGTAAAGATATCCATTCAATTTAGACAATGACTTGTGCCCTCACTGGGAAAAGGAAAAGAAAGAAAAGGCTAAGGAGGCATGGGAGTATAAGCAATGAGCAAAAAAGAGATGGCTGACACTAAATCACAGAGTCCCCCTTACAGATTAATATCTCAAGCTTATAAAGCTTTCTCCACAAAGTTGCTTTTACCTTTATACTAAGATCAGTGTGTCGAGAGTAAGTGACATGAAGCTTGCAATATCCACCTTCATATATGGAATGTCCTTCTAAAGCTCCCTTCGCAACAACAGCTGTGCGTACATCTGTAGAATCATCAAATCTATTGCTTAGTTCAACTCACAAGCATCTTAGTATAGAATAATCAACTCAGATCCATTACTTCTGAGTTTGTACAAGCACCAATTCACAAGAGGAAACCTTGTTCTTCAGAGTATACGAAATTGAAAATAATTTTTTGACCAATCTAAAATATTTCCTTATCAAAAAAGAAAACATTTTTTTGACTAATATACCCACTATTTTCTTTTACACGAGACGCTTGAGAGGAAAACCAAAGTTGAAAAAAAGGACAGCTGGAAGTATATGACCCAATAAATATTCACTAGAAAGAAGTAGCCTCCTTGACTATAGAATGCCATGCATAAATCACAACATAATATAATGTCAAGAAGCTGAGAACAGTGTTTGGTCACTATGCCAAATGCTTTTAGAACATTGGAGCAAGAAAGTTCTGACTTGCGATTTGCAAGGGTAAGAACAATTACTGGCAAATTAACTGCACTTCATCTTACCAGGATATTGTATCAGAGCCTGAACCCCTCCATTCTTATCAAACATAGCAATCTTAAGTACAGGACCGAAAGCTGAGAAAACCTGAGGACATATGAAGGAAAATGAGGAAGCAATAAAACAACTCAGAAGACAGATCACAAGAGAATGTACAAAAGCTTTTTAGCAACTGAAGAGGGATGTTACCGTGTGTAGGACATCCAAGGTAACTGCATACTGCATGTTCTCAATGGAAGCAAGAAGAACATTACTCTCAGGTTCCAGTTTCTTCCCATCCAAACCCAAACTGAACTGTGACACGGATGGAAGAAATTTCAAAGAAAGGACAAACAGCATCTCAAGACAAGCTTGCCACCTAGGAACATATCTCAAACCACAGAAACTAGAAAAAGATTTGCACACCATGTAAAGACATACATACACACCAATCAATAAACTACGCCTCAATCCCATATTAGAGTAGGATATACATTCACACTTATCCAATTAATTCCTGCTGTATGAAAGGGCAGTATCATAAAGTAATCCCGGAGAAAGCACAACACCAGCAACAAGGAAACTGGAAGACAAAAATTTACCAATCCTAGCAAATCCTCTATGTGCAACTGATGCCTGCATACACATACACACACACGCACAGAGAGAGAGAGAGAGAGAGAGAGAGAGAGAGAGAGAGAGAGAGAGCTGTGACTGATGCATTACCTGACCACTTGCATCTATGGCTGAGGGAGCAATGGGAAGGTGAGGATTGGTGTAGTCCCTAAATCAGAAACATATACACGATATAAGATTGAAAGAGGAGGAGGAAATAATAAACCCAAACAAATTAAGTCATATACACGATACAATAAAGTATGATGAAGACTGCGCAAAAGCAATCTGTATGACCAGCTTTCAATAATTAAAACAAGTCATCAATTATGAATGTGTATGTTTGTATAGAAGATTGGGTGACTTTCAGTAGGTTCTCTACTTTTTGGTGCACTGTTTGTATACAGGAGTTTTCCTTCCCAGCATCTTTATCCCGAAAATAGTGCATGTGCGTGAGGGGAGGAGGATGGATATCATTTCTACCTGCTACGATGGCTCTGAAACTTCACGCTCAGATCCGTATGAGCAGAATATGTGATTTTAAGCGTACATGGTCCAAGTTCTGGAATCAAGTAACTAATGCATGAGAGAAGAAAAAAATCAGTCAACTGCCCCTCATGAACAAGAAGTGACTAATAAATATTTCTCCAGAACAGCAATTGAGTATAGTAAGAAAATTTAGAGCATATATTTTTCCCTTCACAAGATCATAGAAATTAGAATTCCATTAATAGCTCCGAGCATAGGTACATTTAAGCAGCCAGCCGACCCTCTGAATTTTAGCCAACTAAATTAAACGGGAAGACCAAACAATCATCTTTTCTGACAAGCATTTTTACAAGGATCAGCCCTCTTTCTCAGAAAGTCCTAGTTATGAATGCATTCTGTAGCAGGATTTAAAAAACAGAGTTTGATAAGCTCATTAGCCCCATTAACTAGAACTTAAATGAACACAAGAAGAAGGTGCCTGAAATGCCAATATAAAATATATGGAACGGGCTAAGGAGCATGTGTGTACCCCTTTAGTAAATTCTTAAAAAGCTCCTCAAAGATGTCCAGCCCCAATGTATATGCACCACATCTACAAAAATGATCCATAACCCAGCCAAAAATATAATCCAACATCACCTGGGAATGCTTCTTCCATCCAGGGCATCCTTTGCTGAAGTAGCGGTTTCTGCATCAGAAAATTGCACCAGAGCCTGAGGAGGGTTCAAGGAGGTGAGGGACTTGTCAGTTAATTAGGAGGTCAACAAACATATTGAGACTAATCAAGCTTGGTCGAATCCATCTTTCTGAAGCATAAATACCTGGAACCCGGCAGTCTTCTCAAATGTTGTAATCTTGTGCACAAATCCAAAAGCTGAAAACACCTGAAAGAATATGATAATTTCAGAAATAGATCTATTCAATGCTAAAAAATTATAAATTTGGAGAAATCCTACATGCTAATGTGCACTTCCAGTCATGCTCTTCTCAAGTATTAGAAACAAATCCTATAAACAACATTTCTGTTTTTAATGATTATCAGTTATACCATCACAGAATAATACTGCAAATATTTTCTAATCAAGGAGTATTTCACAACAGTTGACCTAAAGAGGTTCTAAAAATGCAAAGGATATCGATAGGAGGAAGTACAAAAGAAGACCATCCCTCCTGTCATTTACTGCAAGGATACAAACAAAGGCACAAAACTACCTGAACTTGAACATGTGATGCAAACAAAACTACCTGAACATGAGAGACAGTTCACTGAAGTCACCAAATATAGGTCAACCACTCATGTATTCAGAAAATTCCACAAGAAAAAAAATTAACTTTCGCATCTGTGAATAAAGCCTAGGGCTCATTTCTTCATTACAAGGGCAACCTTGTCAAACAAAGCTCATAATCAAGAAGTTCTCAGCATCAGTAAGTCGCCTCAAGCTTGTAAAATCTTGGCCCAAAGCTGAGCAAGCTCCATTCCTTGAAGCAGTCTTTAAGAAAACCAAACTTTCCATCTATTAACATCCTAATAACACTAAAACTAGAGGGAAGGAGATTATTTCTTAAGCTAGTATCGAAGTTAAAAGGTTTTAGAAAATTTAAGACAAGCAAGTCATGGAGAGGGTAAGTTTAGAAAACAAAATATCTGAGTCGTATATAGATGGTTATCTGGCTTTGTGTTGAGCCTAATTGAGTTGGATCCTAAACTTTCAAGTTAATTAATCAAAAAGACATTATTACTCTAAGAAAAGCAAGCAAATTCTGCATCCATTGCAAGTTTCCAGATGCACATGCAACAAGTTTGCCTTGGACAACGAAAAACTGCAACTCCATTATGCATATGCTAAGGAGGGATGAAGATTTTGAGGAATAAGAATCATCTGACACTCCAAGAAAGTCAGGAAAGTTAGATGAGGAGAAGAAGGGAAGGAAGAGCTTGAGTTAAGCAAAAGAGAAAGGAGACAAACACACATTCGCTCTTTCTCCCGAAGCAATAAGCTGCCACTGAAGATATATCCTGGACACTGGCCTGCTGATCCATTCAATTTCATGTCAAAGAGTGCTCAATAAAGCATGAAATAGCCCAACCTAATTACCAAAACTACAGAAAAACCTTTCTATGAAGAAGATTTCCTTTCCACCAAGGTACATGGGAAGTAATGTAATCCTTACCAAATGTAAAACATCAATACTGACAAGGCGGGCATCATTCCCCTCAATTGTAACCAACAACACATTTCCAGCTACATCTGCTGTAGTTTTGTTGTTCACTATCTCTTGCCTGTTAGAATATTGTAGGTAGACGGTTTTCCCTCGTACCTGAGCCGGTTCTGAGGAAGAGGCGTAGTACGATATCATTGCAATAGCTTGATTTAATTCTGCCTACACATATTAACACTTCAGAAACAAGAAAATCAAGTTTTGAAGGACGTGCAGTTTGACAAGAAAACAGAAATGTAATGAAAGAGCATGGTGAACTAGCTGCTTACGAACTCTCTCTCTTTTTTTATGAGGAAAGGTGAGTAATTTTATATTTTGAGAAAGTAGAATTAATATAAGCAAACTTGACCAAGCACTAAGATGGTGCAGATCAGCCCAAAATTTGACCAGATACTTACTAACTCTATAAATGCCTGATTCCGGTTCGCTCCAACATTACACTTGGTATTAACGACTTTACCAAATGGCTTCCCCAATTCGATCAGCTCCTCCTCTGTGCACTCCCATGGTAAGTTTCTCAAATGAAGGACCTTTGATGGTGGCTGTGTGTATCGAAACTGGGGTTGGCTAGACCCAGATGCCATCCTAACTATAAAGACAAGCTTCAAACAGAATAACAAAATTAAAATGGTATTCGCTCAATAATAACACTCCTCGAGCTGTCAAAGCTAAGAGCCTGATTGGATTATGAGCAGTATATAAACTATATAAAATTTGATGCTAAATGTGCCAGCGCAATAATCAAATGTTACCTTGTGTAATTTTCTTATCAAAAAATATATGTAATCTTGTGTAATATAATGCGCTTAAATAGAAAGCAATTCTGCAGGAATATAATTAGAATAAGTACAACCATTGCCACAAATTATCTTTCTTATTCATACTAGGAATGCCTCTTATGTTAAGCTTTCAAATGAAGGTATATACTGTGTAACTATAACCTGCTCAACCCGGTTTTTTATATCAGGGTCAACCCATTATATTTTTCCTTATCGCACGCAAAGTTAACGCGAAACACCAATAAAGAAAGAGAAAATTAGGTAGAACGTTGGCATTTAATGCATTTAAGCAAAATTCTCTGCTAGAACATGACTTGTGTTCTCGCTAAACTAAACATCAACTCTTCAAACTTCAGTCATTCAATTACATTGGCGAATCCATGTTATACTGGTGTCATCACATTACATCAGTCCTTCCCCTTCCCCTCTCCACCAAAAATAAATACTTAAGTGAAGAACCCAGAAAACATCACCCTAAGAAAATGAAGCGAATCACAAGCTTCCACCAACAGGAAAACAATTAATTTATCCACAGATAATAAGCAACATATCTAATTTATGCAGCTAAAAAGACATCAACTTTATGGTCAACCAACTACAAACCCGGATAGGACAGTGAATCGAACGTAATCGTCAGCTGGATTTAGTACCAGATTAACCGGGACATGATAAAATAGGAGGAAAAAACATACAATATCGTACAATCCCTCTACTCAAACTCATCGAATATATAAAAACAAAAAGGGAAAAAAGGAGCTAATTGATTGAAATCATTGTCGCCGTCAAAAAATGTTCAAACGCAAACGTTTAAATTAGAATGAAGAAGAGAGATTAGGGCACAAAACGAGGGGAAAACATAATCATGTGATATTGAATTAGAAACCCTAAAACAACGTTTTGATTTGAATGAACAAAAAACATAGATTTAGAGCAGCCATACCTATGTTATCTGAGATTAGGGTTTCACAGACGGAAACGGAAGAGCGCACAGCTTTGAGTCGTGACAACGCAGAGTATACTTGATTAATTGATATGAATATTGTTATTTTTTTATATTATGAACGGTAGATGGCTTATATATACCTCTTGAATGAAGGATGCAAAGCATATACGAAATTAAACTCGATTAATGAAAGTTCAAAGACTAGGAATAGTATGAAAATGTTTCTTTCAAGAATTGGATAACAATATTTGTTTTTATGACCTATTACGATTTTAGAAATCAAATAATTTTTACATCAAATTATCTTCAGGCCATTGTTACTCTTCTAATGTAGATTAGAAACAAATTAAATTTTGTATTGAAATTGATGTAACTATGAACTATGTTTTTTATCGAAATACTCGCCTTGACTCAACTATAAGATTTAACAATTGGATACATATGAAGTTTCTAGTCACCATGGACGCGAACGGTTATCAAATGGGTGAAACCTTTCAATGACTTGTTTCTCTAAGGTTCCGTAGTAATTGTATATGCTGAAATATAATATGACATGTGGTCGCCTAAAGGAAGTACACGTGGAACTCAAGACATGGACGAAAATCGAACACAGTTATTTTACTTGTCACCGGAAAGGATAACGTTCATAAAAGTGTATTAAATATTTTGCGCCCGGTAACATTTAATAGGGAATATTCTGCAGCATTAAGAGCGACGCTCTGTTACAAAGAATTTGAAATTTATGTTCACCGTTATGTATTTACCAATGAACCTCATAATTAACATTTAAGGAGGACATGATCCTAGGACTTCTTTCCCTAGAGATAGCTATAAATAGTGAGCTTAGTTATCATTGTAAGAGACACGAATTTTCTGGCAAAACTTATATTATATTCTATACGAAACTTAATACAATCTTATTTTCTTGCTTTTTGATCTCATCATTGTTGTGCCCGAAAACTTTGTTCACGTAACCGTCATCTCTGTTGTTTCGTTTATATTTCAAGGCTAAATATTGTACATTTCTTCAATTATTGTATTATTTCATGATCAAATTAACTCATTTGTCTAAAAATCATGTATAAATTTAACTATACCATTTTACGGGTAAACAGTTTGGCGCCCACCGTTAGGCCTAGACAGTCGTGCAACTAAATTGATCCTTGCCTTTTTTACTAACGTGTTTTGATTACTTTGTCTTATAAAAAAATCACGAAAATGGCAAATAACACTGTTAACGACACACACAACCCTAAAATTCGAGGGGATCAGCCTCATTTCGAGGATTCAATCATTGACACCCGCAGTGAGGGGAATGCACGTCAGTGCATGACAGGCAGTACCCTCGAAGGTTCGGGAGACAACTCCTGATGATGCTGATGAGGAGCATGTAGCAGATGTGGTGAGGGTCCTATAAGAGTAACATGCAATCATTCTAGGCCATCTCACGCAGCAGGATCAGGTTATGACGGAACTGAAGCTAGCATTATTAGATTCTTCGAATAATGCAAACATATGAGATATAATTCCTCTTGTTGTTCCCGCAGACGAAACAATGCAGAGAGTCGACAACAACAATCCCAGGGGTGAAGTTGGCTCTGACGTGACGGGGGGGGAGCAGATCCGCTCTCAACAACGATAACGATTCGTTCAAGGATAAACTTTTACGGTTTATGAGGGAAATAAATGCCCGCATTGATCAAATCCAAGGCGCACCACTAGTATTGAAAGGCCCGAACTTGAAGAAGTATATTCAATTACCGCACAAGCTGAGTGCGGCACCAGAACTAATCCCGAAGCGATTCAAAATGCCTGAAATTCCAAAGTATGATGGAACTTCAGACCCACATGAGCATATTACTACATGTACAATGGCGGTGAAAGGAAATAATTTAGCTCCTCACGGAATTGGATCTGTGTTGCTAAAGAAATTCGGAGAAACTCTCACGAGGGGAGCTCTAACGTGGTATTCATTATTACCCGAGCATTCGATAGATTCCTTCGAGATGCTCGCAGATTCTTTCATTAAGGCTCATGCCGGGGCCAGAAAAGTGCAAGTCCGGAAGGCCGACATATTCAGGATCGCACAGAAAGAATCTGAATTATTACGAGAGTTTGTTACTCGATTCCAGAAAGAAAGAATGTTGCTCCCGACCGTCCCAGATGAATGGGTAGCTGAAGCATTCACCAAAGGATTGATTCCAAAATGTTTAGACGCTTCCCGGAAGCTGAATGAGAGCCTGCTTGAGTTTCAAGCAACAACTTGGGCAAATGTACACAACCGATAAGAGTCAAAGATAAGGATCGAATATGACTAGGTCGGTTTTTCATCATCGGCCAAAGGACGGGAGAAAAGCAAAACAAAATCAAAGGATGAATACGACGCGGATAGACGGACTTCGAGGGGCCGGTTTTTGCCCTACGAGAGGACCGAAAGTCATGGCAGAAACTTTCGGGCACCAAACAAATTCATCAATGACAGAGGGACCGATCGTGGTCGAAATAATAGATCACTCCAGGATAAGGAGACGTCGGGGTCTCGGGGTCCTTCTTACCCCAAGTTATCGGAATATAACTTCAACGTTAGTATAGTGGATTTGGTGTCAGCCATGAGAAACATTAAGGATGTACGATTCCCGAGACCTATGAGATATGATTCCAGTCAGAGAGATCCCAACTTATGGTGCGAGTACCATGGGACGAAAGGTCACTGGATAGGGGACTACCGACATATCTTAGAGGAGGTGGCAACATTATTAAAGAACGACCACCTTAGAGAATTCTTGAGTGACCGAGCTAAGAACGATTATGGTCGTAACAGAGATAACGCGGAACTTCCGAAAGCAGGAAAATAACCCTCATGCCAAACGATCAATATGTTCTTCGGGGGAGATGAGATTAATGGGGTCACCTTTTTGGTAGCAAAGAAGATTAAAGTATCGATAACTAATAGTAAAAGACTCTGGGAAGACGATATTACTTTCATGGAGGAAGACGCATATGGGTTGTTGTTACCACACGACGCCGCACTGGTAATCTCTTTAAATGTGTTAGATTTCAAGATTAAACGTGTTCTAGTGGATCCAGGAAGTTCGGCTAATATGATATGATGGAGAGTATTGGAACAAGCTAAACTCGACATAAGCATTATTCCGACAACAAAGCTCCTTGCTGGATTCAACCTTGCGAGCGTGACGACCCGGGGAGAGATCTTGCTGCTCACGAATGCTGAAGGGGTAATGAAAAAAATTCTCTTCTAAGTAATAAATGGTGATATGGGATACAACATCATCCTGAGGAGGCCATGGTTACACAAGATGAAAGCTATACCTTCAACATATCACCAATTACTGAAGTTTCCAATGCCCAAAGGAATCAAGCAGATAAGAGGTGATCAACCGACAGCAAGGGAGATGAATGCAATCTCAGTTTCCCCATAGAAAGGGGAAGGAGCGCACGACATACCAATTACAGGAACTTACACCTTTTCCCGAGTTAGAAGGAGGTAGCCGAGGAGCATAGTCGTTAGAACAATATCAGGTACCAAGATATTTCTAAGTTCTGGAAGAGACGGACGCAACGAAGTCCACGGCGGAGGAATTGGAGCAAGTGGCATTGTTCGAAGAATTCCTAGAAAGAAAATTTCATTCGGGGACAGGACTGCACCCCGAGCTCAGGTCTGGTTGTATTGAATTCCTTAAACTTAACGCTGATTGTTTTGCATGGTCGCACGAGGATATGACAGATATCCTGACGGAAATAGCCGTACACAAGCTGAGTTTGAATTCCAACATACCACCAGTACGACAGAAAAAACGTCCTATTGCCGAGTTCAGGAATAAATTCATCAAAGAAAAGGTAACACGCTTGCTTAAAATCGGTTCGGTCAGAGAGGTAAGATATCCAGACTGGCTATCCGTATTACGAGATTAGGCCGATAAGAGAATGATAATTATTAATTAATAATAAAATATGGCAAAGTCATTGAGCCTATTCTATTACAAAAGTTCCACACATGGAATGTCGTCGGCATTCTTCTCCTACTTGTTACAATTGCTTTAGCGCGAGCAACAAGGAAAGGGAAGGGCATGACAGAAGGGAAATAGATTAGTTGTTCCTAAGAAGAACAATAAATTTTGCATGTGCGTAGACTATAAAGATCTTAACAAATCATGCCTGAAAGACTCGTTCTCACTGCCAAATATCGATCAAATGATTGATGCCACGATCGGGCACGAGTTGATGAGTTTCCTTGATCCTTATTTCGGGGTACAACCAAATTAAGATGAACCCAGAAGATCAGGAAAAAAATCATTTATAACGAATTTCAGTACATATTGTTACAATGTAATGGCCTTCGGGTTAAAAAATGTCGGAGCCACTTATTAATGGCTCGTAAATAAGATGTTTGAAAAGCAAATAGGAAAGACCATGGAAGTTTACATAGACGATATGCTCATTAAGTCTTTGAATGCAGGTGACCACCTTAAGCGTTTACAAGAAACATTCGACATCCCGAGGAAGCATAACATGAAACTAAACCCCGAGAAGTGCGCTTTCGGGGTCAGTTCTGGTAAGTTCCTAAGGTTTCTGGTCTCACGAAGGGGAATTAGGGTAAACCCCGACAAAATCAAGGTCGTAGACGATATCCCGGATCAATTGTCAAGCGTAAAGGAAGTCCAAAGACTCACATGAAGGCTATCAGCTTTGAGCAGGTTCATTTCCCCGGTCGTCGGAAAAATGTCATCGCTTCTTTATATTGCTAAAAAAGAAGAATAATTTCGAATGGACACCGGAGTGACACCATGCTTTGAGGGACATGAAGAAATACTTATCAAGCCATATATTGCTCTCGAGACCAAAAGAAGGTGAAACATTACTAGTCCACCTCGCGGTTTTAGAAGTTACGGTATATGCGGTTTTAGTCCGGGGGGATGAAGGTACGTAATTTCCCATTTATTACGTTAGCAAAATTTTAACGGGAGCAGAAACTCGCTACCCACATTTGGAAAAGCTAGCCTTAGCTCTCGTAGTCACCGCTCGGAAGCTGAGGTCCTACTTTCGATGCCACCCGATAGTTGTGGTGACTACTTTTCCTTTGTGGAATATCCTCCACAAACCCGAGCTCTCGGGTATATTGGCCAAATAAGCTGTCGAAATGAGTGAATTC